GCCGCCTCCCGGAGCCCCTAGTGCCGGGCGGCCAGGGGAGGGCGCGGAGCACCGAGCTATCGATTGCGCCGCTCCTCGAGTCCTTCCCCCCACGTGACCCAGGCGGGAGGTTGGATGTGGGTTGAGTCTGCCGCGCCTGTGCGAGCTGCTCCGCGGGGGTCTGGCCTCGCTGCGCCCGGAGTCCCGCTGCGCTTGGCCCCGAGCACCCGGCGGGGCGTCCGACCCGGCCCGCTTTGTCCCGAGGCCAGCGGTTTCTCCCGCGACAAGCACGACGTCTGCTCGGTCCCCCGTCAGGCGATGGCCCCGGTCCCAGCTGCCCTCCGCGCTCTTTGGGGCTTGCCATCACCCGCCGCCGCGCCTCGGGGGGGGGTACGAGCTCTCGCTCGCCTCCTCTGGCCCCTCCGTTATTTTCCCTATGGGTGATTCTCCGCCGGGTGCCACGAGGTGTGAGGAGATAAGCACAGGCTTGTCCTTGCTGGGTCACTCCACCACCCTCAGTGCCAGGCCCTTTGGCAAGCCTGTAATGCAGGCTAGATTTGAAATTGGGTGCTACTCAAATCATAGAGCCAGTGGAGGTGCCCCCAGTCCAGTGAGAGGTGCTCAGACTCCAAAAGGCTTGCGAGCCGCAGCTCTACGTGCTCCTTTCCCACCCCGGCTTGCCCCTCTCCTCTCCTAGGTGAACAATCCCAGTTCTTGCTCTTTCCTCCTGAGACTTTTTTCCCCTGCTCTTGATGGTACCCAAGACCCTTTGTGGACACCTCTCTCATTCTGCCAGGTCTTCCCAGGTGGGGTGACCTATATGGCTTAGGCGTTTGAAGTGAGGCTGCCCAAATTATTATATAATGGCATTATCACACTGCATAATCCACCATCCCATTCCTTAAGTACCTGATGTTGTGCTAGCTTTTCTGACAGGAGCTGCAGTGTGAAAAAGGTCATCCCTGAGCTGTCTATGATGGCACCCAAACACCATTTATGAGCTTGGACAGTTCATTTAGACCCCTGAAAGGCAGCAGCTGCCAACGTTTTCAGTCTGCAGGATGCAATGAGCCAGCTTGGGTCAGAGGCAGGTGCCAATATGACACTTTTCCCCACCATAGCACAGAAGCCCCCTCCACCAAATGCCACCAAAGCCTCATGTTTGTAGGCTGGATAGGACAGCTGCTCAGACTAGGTCTGACCTATGTGCTGTAGACTGAGGGCCCATGCTGGAAGGTGTTTAAGTAGTTTACACTGGGTTAGTGTACGCACCAGCCTGCATTACTCGGTGTCCATTCCTGTGACTAAGTAGCTTGTTATCCACAAAAGCTCATGCATCTTTGAACCAACTGGTCTGCAAGGTGCCACCCTATCCTACCTTCTGCCTGACTTCAGACTCACACTGTGGCTGTCTATCTGTGTCTCTACTGTGAAGAATGACTAATAGACATAGCGATCAATTACCCAGACCTTCCAAGAGCTGCAAGGAGGCCACTCCCAGTGCTCCAGCCAGCCAAGGAGGCCGGGTGCAAGTCAAGATCGGGGGAGGAGGAGCAGCAGCAGCTTCTTACTTCCCTTAACAAAGATGGGGAGATAAAATAAGTAACATGACGAGAGGAGTGTTAACTACTGCCGATAATTTAGGGCCTGCACGTATTTTGAGAGGTCTGGGTGGCAGAGGGCAAGGCACGATGGAGACCATTGCTGGCCATGCTGCACAGTTGCTGCTGACCTGTTGTAGATAAACACAGAACATCAGCTTTCGTGGCTGCCTATCTGGCATGTTTCATAAGCATTACATTATTCTTTAAAAATATTATTTAAAACAAAAAGTGGAAACATAGCTGCTTGTCAATGCAGATGTAAACTTCTCTAAGAACCTTGTATGTCACCTCATGTTTTCCTCAGTTTGAGTGAACAGTGCAGTTTACTTTCTTCAATTGACTTTTGCCAGACTCACAGTAAGAATTCTAATTCTGAGTACCCTTTAATTTTCCCCTTGAACTAACAGGTGCTCAGTTTTCTACTCTTAACTCATTTTCTTCATTATGCTAACTGAATGGCCTATGAATTTCTGTGCTCCTTTCCTACCTATGTGTGTATTCCAAGCAGGGAATCTGTAATCTACTTCATAGGAACCAGGAAGTACCTTGTAGAAGAATATTAAATTGAACTTCCTCTCCATATCCTTAATGGCTTTTCATTCATAATTACAATATTTGTAATGAGTGTTGATGATGACAGAAATCCACCAGAACATATTTTATTGCCTTATTTAAATGCAGATTTTTTTTATTTAATGGCTGATTAGCATCAGCTACAGTCAGTCAACAGCAGATCACATTAAAGCTCTATATAATATAAGCATGGCATTTTTATTTTCTCACCATGTTATCCATGAAACAATCATTAATAATATGAAGCTGTTCATACAGTCATCTGCAATTCTATTAATAATGTTCATTTCAGGTTAGTTTACTATTCAGCACCTAGAAATTTCTACAAATGAATAAGGTTAACTGGTATACACATACCCAAACCTGCATATAACCAACATGTATATGTAGCCCGGGTACACCCAGGGGTGTGCCCTGTCCGTAACTGGAAGGGATGGGATGGTCAGGCAAGAGTGCTGTGAGAGGGGCCTGCCACCAGGGACCAGTCCCCTCTTTTCTCTATAGAGCCAAGCGGGGACATAGCACTTAACTATATACAAATGTATTGCTATACAAAAATAAATATGAATAAGAAACATTAAATATTTACAGTAGAATTACTATGTGACACCATATACAATAACCTGCAATCAACACATTGCACCACTTCGGGGGACTGCAAAACATAGAAAAGGTGATCCACAGTGTAGGTAATACTTAACCCCCCTGCACAGGTGAACATTAACACCCTGGAACAGGTAAGTCAAGGCATCAACACAATAAACATATAAGCATCAACTCAGAAAAACCCAGGTAAGTTGAGGCAGCAATACAATAGACGTACAGAGGCAACAATACAGGTAAGTTCAGATAATAGGCAGTAAGCATATAGGTAATGACAGGTAAACCCATATAAACCCTCTTAAGGAGTATCCATAACTATATTAACATTTACAATATGAAGCAAACATCAGTCAAAATATGGGGTGTACTCAGCACCCCATGGGGTGTTCCCTGGAGCCCCTCCCCTTTAGGTCCCTGGGATGTGGACACCCTCCACTCCACAAGGGAAGAGGGTGGAGGCTGCAGACCCTCCTCTCCCAAGCCCACTTCCCCTGTGGGGCCTGCTGCCCCAGCAACTCTTGCTCCTGCTCTGAAGCATCCCAGGCCCCGCTCTGGGCACTGGGGCTCTTTTAGTTTAATGCTGAGCCACACTGCAGGGTTCCAGTTACCCAGCCTAGAGCCAGGGCTAACTTGAGCAGCCTCGAGCTGCTCTCGAGGTTGATTCTGCATGCGCCAACCTGTGCACTCTGTGGGACCCGAGCAGCTTCAAGCTTCTCCGTGAGCTGATCCACACACCACCCACCCAGCCACTTGCTGGGTTCACAGGCTCAAGCCACCTCAAGTGGCTCCCAGAGCCTGAGCACCATGTGCCAATCGGTACACTGTTGAGGCTCAGGCAGGGTCCCAAGGATGGTCTTCTCTAGAGTTCCTCTCTCCTTGCCACCCCTCATTGCATCTGCCCCAGCATGCCAAGTCCGCTCTCCTTTTATACATGTCAGAGGCTCTGCCCCTGAAGTCTGGCAGGCCTGCTGTGCTGCAGTCCACAATCCAGTCAGGGAGCTCCTCTCCCCCTCCCCCAGCTTCTTCCTGGTTAGTGGATTGGCTCCATCAATCAGAATTGAGGATTCTTGAGCCCCTGGACACATTGGAGCTCGATCAGGTAAGTCTGTCACATATATATGTGTGCAGGTATACAACATGAACACATGCCCATATCTATATCTATATCTATGACATAGATATAAAAAAATCTCATACACACATCTATGGATATTATGAGGCAGAGAGATGAGATTATTACTGGACAAATTTCTGTATTTTCAAACTGCTACCCTCTTAAGTTTTATTAAACCAGTTAAAATTATTATATACAAATATTTTTGTTCTATAGATCATTTGATTGCAGCTTGGTGTCTGTATATAGAAAAATTATGAACTTTTTCTTATTTTAAAACAGCATGAGACATATTTTTGAAGAAGTTACTAGAAAGTATTTTAACATTATTTCTCTAAATCCAGAGATGCCTTTGAAGTATAATCTGTTGTGCTTCAGTTTCAAAATCCATGCCTAATCCAGACAATATTTTCCCTTATGTCTAAATAAATATATCACTTGAAAACTGCCTTTAAGAATTTCACATGCTGCCAGGATCAAATAAAATCCAAAACATTTCACAGATTTACAAAACCAAGTTAGAAACAGACCAGTCCAACCACATAAATGTGGTATTTTTTTAAAAGAACAATAATGTTTGTAGGTTATTCTGGTCACTGTATTGCATATTTCTCCATAAATTATATAGTATGCATGACTGATGATATCTTTCCAAAAATGTTCCCTTTTATGGTTTTATGTATTCAGTTTACATTATATTGCACCTGTCATAAATCTCTAAGTGTGTTTATAATAGGAAGTTTAACACACACATAAAATCAGTT